GGTGGCGGAGGATACGGGAGCGGTAAAGGAGGATACGGTGGTGGAGGTTATGGAGGATACGGTGGCGGAGGATACGGGAGCGGTAAAGGAGGATACGGTGGTGGAGGTTATGGTGGATACGGTGGCGGAGGTTATGGAGGATACGGGGGTGGAGGTCATGGTGGATATGGTGGTGGAGGCTATGGAGGATACGGTGGTGGAGGACGTGGAGGATACGGTGGTTATGGTTGGTGGTGATAGACTCTTAGATTTACCGAAATTCGCCGTATGTTATATTCTCTTTTTTCCTGAGGTTTTAGAAATCGGTTTCAAAAACGTATTGCATGTATATAGATGACGTATTTTTCAGAATGTATTTACAAAGTATCCTGTAAATATATCTGGCTGGAATAGAATTCAACAATATAAGAAAATATATTCTGTAGAATCAGAATATTTAATTGCTTTCATGTATTGAAAGAAAATAAAAAGTTTCAGCATTTTCAACAGCCTAACTCTGATTAATATATTAATTACTATTTATATTATGCGAAAAAAACGAGCTTTAGAGAAATTATATCGTGCCTGCAAATGAAAATACAGTTGATGTTTATCTAAACTTACTTATCATTAAACGGTTTTCTTCCTTATATAATACTTTGCAAGTCTACCTATCACCCAGACCCTATATAAGAAGTGTCTCCGTAAACCTCGATTTACGCTCCTTAAAGTTTGGTAATGAGCATATTATCCATCAACATTTGGAATAATCTAAGTACGTCTAAATCGTATATCGGCTATAAATCAAGAGCATATTACCCATCACATTTGGAATAATCTAAGTACGTCTAAATCGTATATCGGCTATAAATCAAGAGCATATTACCCAACACCATTTGGAATACTCTAAGTACGTCTAAACCGTATATAGGCTATAAATCAAGAGCATATTACCCAACACCATTTGAAATACTCTAAATACGTCTAAACCGTATATAGGCTATAAATCAAGAGCATATTACCCAACACCTTTTGCAATAATCTAAGTACGTCTAAATCGTATATAAGCTATAAATTAAGAGCATATTACCCAAAACTATTTGGAATAATCTAAGTACGTCTAAATCATATATAGGCTATAAATCAAAACTAACTTTTTTTAGATTCATATCTATTTATCTTACGTTAGCACATAATGTCATTACATTTCACTCAGTGTTTTAGAAAATACAGAATGACTACATCACTTCTCCATTAACTACAGTCCTTAGTATAGCTGTAATATAACTACGACAATTTAAATAAAATACATGCAAAATATTTCAATTTTCATCTCTTTATTTCTTTCATGAATTCCGGTTTTCTTCTTTACTTCCAAAAATATGCCTAGAAAGAGTCCTTCTTCATAAACTCCTCTATGTGTTTGTGCGCCACTGATACCCTGAACATAACTGGTGGTTTGAATAACACAGCAAATAACTTAGTTAATGTTTAGTTAGCCAATTAGTCATTAAAAGTGAAATACTAAGACGTATGTTCGCTTTGTGTTTTATCATTTTATAGTGTTTGTTCGTATAGACATAGCCTCGTCGTCTGTAAATCACCAATCATTCCTTCGAATATTTAGGAGTATAATTCATTAATGTTAGTTTTTACTACAGGTTCATATTAAATATATGAAACAACTTAGCATTCTATTTACATTATCAATGTTTTAACTGACTACAAAATAACTTGTCATGCTTTGACTTGGAATCCAAAATCTCTTTTTTTACCCTAAACGGTTGATGATACACTTCTTTGAAATGCCTTTAGATGGTCAAATTTAATAAGTAAAGAATGTTGATATAGTTCTTGTTTTACGAGAATCAATGATCTCATACCTCACGCGGCTGGTTCAAAATAATTCTAAATTTTATATTGCAGTTAATCATCGAAAATAATGTATTTAAACAACCATCTGTGTATCTAAAATAGGAAGTACAATAATCACACTTTCAAATACACTTCAAGAAAGCTGAAGAATATCTGATTCAGAGGACTGAAGTACACGTACACAGGCTGAATGTTAGTTTTTAAAAACTGTTTTGATCTTCTGTTCAATACGCCAAGAATGATTCAGGGATTATACTACCGGACTGGGGCTCTGTGGGTCCAACGTTCGCGTCCCGCTACTTAAAAAAAAATATATTACGCTCCGCACTTTGGAGTCGTGGGTGCGTTATAAGGGAGACGCATTATTTCATCAGACAGGAGTAGCTCAAAACTAGCTGCCTTCCCTCTAGCCTATCATATCGAAATTAGGAACTGCTGGTGTAGACAGTTTTTGAGTAGATATGTGCGAATGTCAGAAAACAAACAAACACTTTTCAGTTGTTTGTAAAATAGTAAAAGTTCATAACAAAGTACTTTACTAAATGAAAGTTAATAATATCAGTGAAGTTATAAACCGGTTTGTCCATTTACGTACAATTTATGCTATATTACACTGAGCCAGACGATTTCCTCTTCAATTTCGAAATAGAATCTTCCGCTACAAAAAATGTTAGTTCAAAATGCCTTACAGTTTACAGTGTTTAGGAAGTAAAATATGTTAACAATGGTGTAATTACGAAATGATAAAGATCAAAGTTTATTAACAAACTTGTAACCAAATTAAAGAAGAAATTAATTAAGTAATATTAAGTTCAAACTTCTATGGTAAATGGATAAGTAACATAGTACGAGAGTCATGTGCAACATTACAAACTAAGTAAAAATATTCGATTTCATGGAATTATACATAAAGTTTTGCTGTAGCAGGAAAACAGTTGAAAAGTTAATTACAAAACTTCCTGTGTCGGGTTCTGTGATGTGTATAAGAAAGCACAAGACTTTAACCGTGATAGGCTACTAAACATGCTTAGTCAATCTCACTATTGGTGATTAATACTCTTTGGTTGCCCTTCCTCTGGCCACCGATTTTAAGTTAAGGGTGACTACTCCTGAACTTGGAAGCTCTAACCTGGCCATTTACCCCAGATTTGGCCTAAGGAAATGTGCAGGTTAATACTACCAAAATACCAACAAATTTACTGTTACTAGAGAAATAAAAACACTCAAAACAACTACCCAATGCTATTCAGATTAACAGAAAAAAATCAAATTCTTTACCAACATTATAGCCCCCCTCTCGAAATGGCACAGCGGCATATATGCGGAGTTACAATCCCGAAAAAGAATCACTCAGACATGGTAATCAAACCAGCCCACAATGGCAAGAACTGTGCTCGTGTGACAACGATATCTTTACATACAAGAAGCTCTAACACAACTGAACAATCCCAACTTCTACAAGACACTCGAAAAAGATCAAACCTATTACATTTACGCGTCAGAATGTGTCACTTACTGCTTCCAGTGTAGAAAGCATCACAACCTATGATCGTTTTCGTGAACACCTTCGATCTGTAAGAGAATGCTCCATTGACCTCCCAGTTCCTAAGCACTTCAGTCCTCCTGACCACAATGGTACCTCCGACATGGTAGTCTTAATCATGAAAAATACACCACTCAACAAGTTAAAACGAGAAAATCTTGAACACCGTCTTATCTTCCAACTCAACACCAAGTCCCCTTACAGTATTAATGAAATATTTACTTCTAAATAATTATAAAACTCTTTCAACCTTTTTTCTAATTTTATTCCTTTAAACCCTTTCATTAGGTGCAATTACCTTACCTCTTATTCCTGGTTAAATCTTCCTCTTCAACCTTATCTATGCGTTAATCTTCTCCTTCCCATAAATATTTCCCTGGATTATCATTATAGTTTACTATAATTTATATTTTACTTCATTACCCATTCAAGCCGTCTCCAGCCATTATATTTTACTACGCTATTATTTTATTATTTTGCGAATTGATGTTTATTATTTTCCTGTGTTTATATTTCCAAATCCAATTTTAGTTATTCTAATTACTTTTTCCATATTCTTGCTAATTTAAATAACCTTTATGTAATAAGTTCAAAATGCTTTTATCAGCATTTTTGCTATCGTGCTCCACGTTGAACGTGCGTAATTAAAACATTTGTAGTTTCTCACCTTTCAATGATTCTCTCTGAACCTAATTCCATTGTAATACGGTATTTACTGCCTGATGAAAGGCGTCTGCTCGAAACGTCGCACAAAATAAAGTAGAAAGCATTTTCATTTAGATGTGTCAATACATTTTTATTACCATTTAATCAAAACATCCGCTGCATTCTGTCCAGAGAAGGGAATTATCATCTCCACTGTCTGCTTCAGTACAAAGTGACGAAAGTTTTCATTTATATAAGATCGATATCAAAACCTAATAGACTACCAGATAGATGTTTTAGTTTGATACAGTATCTTGTAAACGCATTCCGAATGAGACTGTTTAAAACTGCAGTGCTAGTTATCTAATATTTCTAAAATATAGGTAATATTCATTGATAAATCGATCTTTATGTAGCTTTATCTTCATCTATACTTAATATTTTGCCTCAAAAAAAAAAGCTCTGAAATCTTTATAATTAGTGCTTTCGTATAGTATCATTTCCGCAACTAAATTCCAAGCTCAGTTTTTTGGTGATTCTACCCCTAATACAAAATATTACCTAATTTGCCGACAAGGCAGGTGTTAAAAATTAAATATTAAAAGGATTAGTTATTATAAACGCTGTCATTCGAAATATTTGTTACTATTACTTTATTTAAAACTTAATATTGTAAATCGAGATTTTAAATGTGATAAGCTATTCCTATTTTGGTGGTAGAACGTGGCCCACAGGATTAGTTTGTCAGACTGTGAACTTGAGGGTACATGGCTGACGCCTAGTTACCGCCAAAAGAAAAAAATCGTGCTCTGCACTTTGGGACCGTGGATACGTTATAAGAGTTACAGTCAACTCCCACTTTTCGATTAGAATAGCCCACAAATGTTGGTGATGGATGTTTACTGGCTGCCTTCCCTCTAGTCTACAGCTTCAAAATTAAGGATAGCTAACTCAGATAGCTCTAGAGTAGCTTTGCGCGAGATTCACCAATACAGACAGTCTATTTTGTTTTATGTTTTGCCTTAATTGAGAAAAAGCTGATACTTCCTTTAAGTAAATGTTATTGCACATGTATTGAAGTGTTTAAAGATGTTTTTCAACGACAAATTGAGAGAATTTCGCACAAAGCTGTACAAATAGTATAACATTTCCTAATTTTGAACTTATATAGACTAGATAGAAGATGGGTAAGCAA